CAGCCATAGAAATATGTATTGCATTTAAATCGTTACAAAACGATTTTTTTAGTACACAACAGCATTGCCAACCGTACTATAGTTGTAGTATTTCTACTATAATTTTATGTAGGTATACTATCCTCATAATTTTTTTGTGTTTTTTTTTTTTGAATTCTCGATCTTGAAATAGAATTCTCCAGATAATTTTAATTAAAAAAGGTACCCTTAAATTATTCAAAATTATGGCATTTTAACTTACTATATTTATTTTGTAATAAAATTGGTTCGGATAAAGTGCTTTTTATTTTAAAATCACTTTTTTATGTTTGGTTGTATGTACCAGTGTTACCAACTATACAGAAGCGAATTGTAGTATTTAATTGTAGGATTTAGGAGCTACAAACTGACAGTATAAAACAAGACGTATACGAACAAAGTATTATACGTCTCTCTCGTGTTTTATACTGTCAGTTTGTAGCTCTTAAATCCTACAATTAAATACTACAATTCGCTTCTGTATAGTTGGTAACACTGGTACACACAACCAAACATAAAAAAAAGTGATTTTAAAATAAAAAGCACTTTATCCGAACCAATTTTATTACAAAATAAAGAATATAAAATTGATATTGAAAAAATAACAAAAAATGTAAATTTTTCTTTATGGTATATCAGAATTTAAGAAGAACTAATAGGTTTTTCTTAATTTAATAAATAGTTTTACCACCTTTAGGGTCAATGCAAGCACGAATTTGACGTGGCATAGGTATATGTTTTCTATTAAGTTATTAATTGAATGGTGTTATGCAACATAATAAAAAAGCGGGATAAATGTATTAACGTGATGGGGCCATGTAGGGCGACCTTTTGAAAATATTTTAAAGAAATAGAACATGCGGAAAATAACTGAATTAAAATATTCAAAATAATATAGAACTCTGCAATCAAAGTTTTTAAATCTCAACAAAGCTTTAAGCTGCATGGTTGTGCTAACTTTCCCTTATATATTAAAATTGTGAAAGGTTATACAGCGCCAAGCTGCTTGGTTAACGTTACTTTTGAGTCAAAAGTTTTGACTAAATGCAATTAGACTGGGCCAAAAAAATCAACTATTTTTTTTTAAAGTATATCGAAAATATGGTTTGGGGTGACAAAAAAAATATTGTAAAAGTTTTGAGTCCATAATATTAATACTAAGAGGTCTATAATCTCAATTTAAGTTTTTGTCTCAGAACTCCAAAACCATTGAGTTTAACAAAATTGCCTGAGAAATATTTTTTAAGAAAATTAAATGATCTACAAAAAAGGTTCAAATGAAATTTTCCGTCAGATGAACCTTTTCCCTTTATAGGTTAATGGTCTCTTTTGTAATTCATGTAAAAATCAGTACCCAGAATGTTCTTATGGGAAATCAAATGCTTTATAAAAAAGCCTCTTAACATTTTTGGCTAAATTCACTCAATCAAAAGTTATTCAAGGTTAAAGTTGAAGTCAAAACGAAATTCTTCAAAAAATATTCTTAAGTCAATTTTGTTAAACTCAATGATTTGGGAGTTCTGAGACAAAAACTCGCTCAGGAAAAAAAATCTAAAATTGCGATGATAGACCTCTAAGAGGTCTATCATCGCAATGTGAGTGTATTACACTCACAGGCAAAATAATCGATCCACACAAATTTTCGATGAATTTCAATCGCAAACGATTTATTTGATGTCAGATTTAAACGAATATTAAAGAATATTGTAGATAAATTAATGGACAATCGCTAACATTTTAAAAATTACTAAAAAATAGACGTACGTTTATAATATACAGGTTTAAACAAAAAGATGTTTTTTACTATAAGTTTAAGATACTCTGTAGAGTGGCAAAACCGTATATTGTTCTAAATAAATTTTTATTTATCGAGTCACATCTATTCTTAACAGTTTTGTTTTTGGTTCACCTCGGTATATTTATTTTTTGTGGAAAATATGGATTTAAAAAAAAACATTGCAATTTCCAATATTTTTCTGTATGGAGAACTAAGGTTGCTATGGTCCATCCTATGGAGAATGACAGTGACAGTTTTGTTGAATCATCCCATACTTTGACATGTCATACACGGCTTTCAAAAGCTATCAAATTGTTTTTGACAAATTAATGTTTAAATTTTGAGGTGTCTTCTTACTTTAAAAAATGGATATGTCTCCGACTGATGTTGCCAGAGCCATTAATTTAATCCAGGATGGATGGTCAGAGTATTACGTGGCAAGTGTTTTAAACGTCACAAGAAGTAAAGTACAAAGGGCAACATCAGTCGGAGACATTTTTAAAAGTGAGAAGACCTCAACATTAATTTAAGTATGGGATGATTCAACAAAACTGTCACTGTCATCCTCCATAGGGCTATGGATGGACCATAGCAACCACAGTATATTACGTCATATTCCTGCCAAAAGTCACTAACTGACATTTTGAAAAAATGTTAACAAATTGTACTTAACTATGCAAATTTACCATATCTTTAATATTTAAAAGCCACTAGATGCCTACAATAATAAAAATGGTCGTTTTAGCATGGTTAAAAATCATTAGAGTTTATAAACTGATATAATAGATATATTTATTTGCTTATTTATTTTAACTTAAAGTCTGCCGGGGTCATTTTGACAAGCTCTAATCCTTCTTTTAACCTTATCCTACAAGTGCTCAATTGGATTAGGATCCGGTGAACAAGAGGGCCACTTTAAATCAGTCACACCTTTCATTTCTAAACAATTTTTGGCAACTGTGCTGGTTAATGGAGCTGCATTATCCTAAATAAATAAAATAAAATCTCGGAAAGCCCATCTCCAGAGCCTTACTACAGGTTGTAGCACTAAATCCACATAACTTGGACTAATTAGGGGTTGTCTAATGGAAATCAAAGTAATTTTTTCACCAATCTTTGTTTTGAGGGGGCGATCGTCTATTTTGCACCCTTAACTGCCTTCGTAGTTTTTTTATTCATGTCGGATATTATCCGGCGGATATCAGCATAGTTGCCAAAATTTTTTGAGAAATGGAAGGTGTTTTGAAGTGGCCTTCTTTTCTTGTTCACCGAATATTAATACAATAAAGAACTTGTGGGACAAGGATTAGAGCTCGTTAAAAAAAACCTAACAACGTAAATCAATTTTAGAGTGGGAAAATGTTTTCCAGGAAGAAATGAATATCTTAATAGAAAGTATGCCTCGACGAATTCATGCTTGCATAGAGGTGGCAACATTGATTATTAAATTAACAGAAACCTATTATTTCTTCTTAAATTCCAATTTAGCGTAAAGTTTATTCTCAGAGAGATTAACATTTTTTTGTATAAAATTTGTTTTATTGATTTTTCGTTCATTTTTGTAATAAAATTGGTTCGGATAAACTGCTTTTTATTTTCAAATCACTATTTTTCGTTTGTTTAAAGCTTATTCATTTAAGTCGCGTTTAAAATCTCCCCTCCAAAAATCAAGTTTTTTGACTTACTGACTCTGAGGTATATATTCAGATATATTCTTATATCTCGCGCATGTTGACATTCTCAAATTATGTTAAGCTTAAGTTGACATTCTTAAAACAGGTATATCTATAGCTATAGCTTATGACATTCATAAGAGAGTTATTTATAGAATTGACATGTAAGCTTATAAGCTAATAATGTCAATTTAACAAAGCCATAACTGTCTTAAGAATTCGAACTTAAGCTATAGCTTAAGTGGACATTCTTAAGACAGATACTAAAGTTGGTAAAATTTCCGCACTCGGGCGTTTTCGAAAACTTTTGAAAAACATGGGGGGATGGTGTTTTCAAGATTTTTTTAAAAATAGCTTTAAATTGCCCCTGTGTTTTTTATAATAAATTGAACCTATGTGTCCGAGCACAATTTCGCGCGCTAAGTTTTCAAAAAGCCAGCAATTTTTAATGAAGGTGCAACTGTCAAAATTTTACGAAAAAAATTATTAACTCGAAAACTATTAAGTTTAGGTATAGGGAATGGTACAGCAATTTCATTAAGAATTTCATGAGGAATTTAAAAATAAAAAAAATTACAGGGTGTTCCATTGGAAATAACAAAGTTGATGTCGCTTCCGGTTAAACCGGAAGAGAAATTTTATTCAAAATAATTTTTAAAGGTAGATTAAATTGTACAATAATTGCTATAAAAATTTCAAACTTATATCCTCAGCCGTTCTCCGTAAACGTCTAAGGTACCATCGCTGGTGAGACACCCTGTATATAGCCTGACTTTCTTGAGGAAGTTATATCCAGCTAAGAAAATTTTTGTCATGTTCAAGGTGGTCTAAACTGTAAATTTTTTGGCAACTATTTTAATTTTTACAGTTTTTTAAATGAATATTTTTTTTACATTTTAATGACAAAAAAACTAATTTAGTTCTGACGGTTTCGTACTTTAGGTGTGACCTATAGTAGGTATAGGTTTTATTTAAAAACAAAATAAAAGTTTTTTTAATAAAAGTTAGGACCTTTTATATAAACATTTTTGACGTATTGACAAAAGGCCAACAAAAATGAATGGCACACATTTCTCTGATTGTGCTTTATGGTTAAATTTCAAATGTTTTTGTATACCCGTACTAAATCAATTAGATAATGTTTATTAATGAGTGCAGGAAATGAATCTTAAGTGACTGTTTAGTTCCTCGCAATCATATAACAATATAAAATATGGGGGACTGACAGTTCAACCGTTGACTGGTCGGTTTGCTTTTTTCTTGGAAAGGTCCTGGAGAGCATACAAATAAAACTAGTTCTATTGTTTTCTCTTCTGTTATACGACATAGGTAATAAAAACAAAATGAGAATCTTTTTGCAGCATCGAGTTTTATGTGTTTCGTTTCGAAATTGTTGTTTTATGTGTGAAACTAACGAACGAGATGAATATGAGTAGTATAATAAAAAACGGTGGGTAAGAAAAGTAGACAGAGTCAAGCAAGCTATAAATCAAAGGCAACCACGCCGCTTAAGACAACAACACTGCACACACCTTGCAACTTCTTCTCGGTCTCCCAAAACTTTTGCAGCTCGGTGAAGTACTTGTCTAAAATGAACACTTTGGATAGGCCTAGCGTAGCCATTTTTGACGATCAGGGTATCGAAGAACTTTGGGCCATTTTTTGAGGTCCATCACAGATCACAGCACGCGAAGAATAAAGGGAAAAACAATACACAAGCGCGCGAATGACGGACGTTCTATTGCCTGTTGGTCGCGATCGCCTCGGATGCACTGACTGGTCTTAGGTGGCTGCTACCTGGCCGTAGTCACGTGACGCCCCCCGCTCACCTGTAAACACCTGTGGAATCTCGCCTCTCGAGAGAGTTTTGATGAAAGATTTTTGGGGTGCCACAGGTTTTACTATGAAATAAACAACAACGAAGATACCTACTAAATAGTGCACTGAACAAACACAATAGAAACATGAGTGCTAAAAAATAAATTATCCTCAAAACAGGCACCTGATTGTTTGTAATGAAATTACCAATTTTGGTGTACCCTATTCTTGTACTAGACCAAAGAAGCCCACTTGAAATTTTTGGGGTGGATGATACGGTATCATTGATACCGTATATGCACCCATGATGGGTGACCCATCTTGGAACAGTTTCATACGGAATTGTGATTAATCTATTTTATATAACAAAATCTAAAAATAGTTGTCACTTCGTCTTTTTAGTAATCCTATTTTCTGTAGTTAAACTAATATGAAATTATTATCTCGCTTAAAAAAAGTGGGTGTTCCAAGTAAGATGACAAGTGCTATATTGTTGAAACACCCGTTATTTTTCATCCAATTTTAAGTTGTAGACAGTGTAAGGTAGCTTGGAACATGCAGAATTAAAAATTATACAGTTTTTGTTTTATGTTCATGTTTTTTATTTAAAAAATAAAAAAACTCTATTTAATTATTTAATTTAATTTAATTTAATTAACCCAAACATTAATATTTTCTAGTCAAGTGGTATAAATATTTGGCTGATAAAATAATAGTAACTCATGAGACAACGAAAATGTTCTCATTGTTTTTTAAAAATAACGATATACTTACTGTATACAGGGTGTCCGGCAAAAGGAGGTCAATCCATTAACCATATATTCCTTGAATTAAAACAATAAGACTTTCATAATACCATTTTTCAATTTAGAGCTTCATGTTCGATATACAGGGCGACAAAGTTTGAAATTTAAAACTGATTTTTTTAAATAATTCTAGTAATTGATGAGATATTAAGTTTAAATTCGGTACACTACTTCAACATAAATAATTACATTTTTTGAGACCAACAAAACAAAAAACATTTGTCAAATAATCAAAATAGGGGGGGTCCAGTACTCACTGACTCCCCCTATTTTTAGTACGTGCGCCAATGACTTCCAAACGGTATTTTTTCAGGTAATCATTTATTGTTAAAAAAATTTTGTCTCTTATAAAATTTTGATAAAATGATTTGTTTTAGAGATAATTTGTAAAGTATGGGTCAGTCCATATCAAATCAACCAAAGGTTCTTCCCCCACCATCTCCGATTTTGATAATTTTTGGTAAATTTGTTTACCTCACTAAAGAACTTAAAAATCCCATATATGAATTTTTTTCGATGGGTGGTTTTTGTTTTATTGAACCCAAAAAAATTTGGGTTTTGCAAGTACTTACAAAAATAGCGATATCTCGTAAACTATTAAAAGTAGAAAGGTGAGTGATGGCTTATTTTAAAGGCCTATTAGAGACCTTTTTTGTGATATATCACATGACCTAAATTTTTTCCAAAAAAAAAAAAAAAAATTTTTAAATTTGATTTGGATTGACCCATACTTTACAAATTATCTCTAAAACAAATCATTTTATCAAAATTTTATAAGGAACAAAAAATTTTCAACAATAAATGATTACCTGAAAAAATACCGTTTGGAAGTCATTGGCGCACGTACTAAAAAATAGGGGAAGTCAGTGAGTACTGGACCCCCCCTATTTTGATTATTTGACAATTGTTTTTTGTTTTGTTCGTCTCAAAAAATGTAACTATTTATGTTGAAGTAGTGTACCAAATTTAAACTTAATATCTTATCAATTACTCGAATTATTAAAAAAAATCAGTTTAAAATTTCAAACTTTGTCGCCCTGTATATCGAACATGAAGCTCTAAATTGAAAAATGGTATTATGAAAGTCTTATTGTTTTAACTCAAGCAATATATGGTTAACGGATTGACCTCCTTTTCCCGGACACCCTGTATTAAACTTATTACATCCTTGCATTTTAAAGGTGTAATGTCCTCTCAATATTTGTGGAGGATCTAAGCTCATGATAATCAATTATTGACAGGTCATCAACACTTGGACAAACACAGTAATTTTTTATTGCTTTAGGTCCAAGAAATTTTTGCATAAATTTGCAATATAATTTCTATGAATCACCTGGAATAATATCATTTTTACATGGGCACCTATCACTCTACGCGACTTTCGAAATTACATCCAATGGGTGGTCTCCTAGGAAAAAAATACTTGATACGACCCTATTCCATATACCCTTTTAAAAAATTGAGGTTAAATTAAGGACATAATAAGTACTTAATATATTTGCAGAATTTTTATTTCTCATATGTATAAAGCTCATTTTGCAGACAAACTTCTTCAGGCATATATTTTTGCAAAAAAAATTAAAAATGCGGTAAAAAACTTACGAAATACTTACGCTTATTCTGCTACTCGCCCGTACTGGGTACCACAGAGTACTGAGTACTCTGTGGCACATAGTCTGTGCTGAGTACGGCGTACTCACAGTTACGACTGGCGACTTTTTTTTTTGTATAATATTTTATCATATAAATTGTAGTATTTGAAAAAAAGTTATAGTACAGATGACGTTGTATCGGTTTTCTACTACCAAATTGGTTCATTTTACGACTATTTTAGCTATCATCTTGTTTTATTTAATTCAATAAATAAATTTTATATTTAATACTTTTTGTTATTGAATTTAAAATTTTACCTTTAAAATAGTAAGCATAATTAATTAATATCTATTAATTAGTTTTCTTGATTAGGTACAGATTTAAATCTTTCCATATAATAAAATTTATTTATATAAATCGTTTTATATGTAACATAATAACAAATAGGTACAAACTGACAGTACTAGGCAAGACTCTTGCTGCAAGAGAAGAAATGCACGCGCCACACTAACGCGCACCATGTGACTTGTTTTCCCAATCGCGGAAACTGCGAATTTTGCACATACATTTTAAAATATTGTTATTTATATATTATTCAAAATTATGGTAGGTACTATTATAATAATACTTTGCTATAGTAGGTATACTCGTACAGTACATCAACATAAAATTCTAGTAAAAATACTACAATTAGGTATACGGCTGACAACGAGTTTTGCCCCGAAAATTTTATGCAGCATGTATACAGGGGCGTATTTGAAGAATTTGATTTATATGCATGTTTTATGATGGGTGCATACATATACATTTCTAAAAATTAATTAGTCAAAAATGACCATGGTACCATGGTACATGGTGTAATCAAAAGTTAAAACAGTAGAACAATTTTTGAGATATAGTCAATTTTCCATTTAATATGGAATTGACTAAATCTCAAGAACTGCTCCACTTTCATAATTTTTGACTATATTTTCGGATTCAGGGGACAATTTTACATAGGAATTGGCTGTTAAATTTTGGGATACCATGGTATTCCATGGTTAACCATGATACAAGTGAAAAAGCAGCCACTAATAACTATTGAATTAGTTATTTTTGATATTTTTAATTATTATTTAATATTATTTAAAACAAATTTACGACTGCATGGTTTCCCAATAAAAAAATGTTTGAAATATTTAAAACTTTGTACTTCAAACCAGTCACTTCGGTAACCTATCGTTAAATTATAATTATCAGCAAAAAACTTAATTTTAGCTCCAACAAAAATCCAGTATCCGTCCTCGCAAGTAAGTAAACAACTGTTTTCAGGATAATTTAGGATAAAATAAAAACAAAATAAGCTTCTAAAAAAAAACAGTATTATTAGTTTTTCCACAAAAAATGTACATTTTAAGGGTCAATGTTTTTTGTACCACCCTGTACAATCGAAAAAATTAGTATTTAGGTACGTATAATCAGCTTCAAAGACCTTTTAAATATGTAACATAACATAGATTACGCCAGCTTTGTATTTTTTTAAATGCTTCCTTATGGCATAACGACGTGACAAGTTGTGACATGGGGGGAGGGGGTTACATCAACTGTTACGTAACGTTGGTTCGGTTTTTATGAAAATTCCCATTTTTTATAAGTAATTTAAAAACAATTTTTTTTATTTATTTATTTATTAAAATTAAAACATTAAAATAGAGAGTTTTCTGCTCAGTCCACCTTGTTTACATGTTACTAAGGATTTTGACACTTTTCTGGATTTGATATTTGAATCGTCTAATTTCAAAAGCGGCCATCTCCAATTTTTTTTTTAAATGAGTTATTTACACCAATAAAATCGAAATATTACGTAGTATATTAGTGCAAAATGATATCCCAACAAAAACGGCTATTTGCAAGGATAATAATTCATTAAAGTTTTATGTTAGTTTCAATAACGTCCATCTCCATTGATGATTTAAGTACAAAAATGTACTTAAAATGCCCATTTCCCTTTTAAAATATATGTTTTTTTAATTAAAACTTAAATCTGGTTACTTATTTTGTAGAAAAAATATTTTTATTTACCATATGAACAAGTTTTTCAAAATATATTTATTTTTTACCCATTACTGTTTAGAATGTTTTTTTGACGTTTACTTAAAATATTCTTCAAAGGAGATGGCCGCTTTTGAAATTAGACGATTCATTTGTTGAAATTTAAATCCCGTGTTTGATTAAAATAATGAATAATAAACTCTAAAAGATCGATGGTTTGGTGTAAACGATAATAAAACTAAGGCAAGTTTGAATAAATTAGGTTAATAAAGTCTTTTTATATTTTAAAGCACATTTTAATTTCAAATGTCAAACTAACAATTCGTTAATTCCTAAAATTCATTATATTTTCTTACTAAATATAACTCGTGGTATGATTAATTATCGATGATATTTACTCATTGAAACCGAAGCAGCACATTTCACTCGTCCTGCGGACTCGATTTAAATTCTAAAATATCATCGATGATAATCATACTACTTGTTATATTATGGGTGACAATACAATTCA